GCTCCGCTGATCCCGGGGTCCTGAGGCCTCTCGGCTCCGCTGATCCCGGGGCCCTGAGGCCTCGCAGCTCCGCTGATCCCGGGGTCCTGAGGCCTCTCGGCTCCGCTGATTCCTGGGCCGGGACGCCTCTCGGCTCCGCTGATCCCCGGCCGGGAGGCCTGTCTGCTCCACTGTTACCGAGGCCCCGCAGCTGCAGACGGGGAACCTTGGCTTCCTCATCGCTGGGGTAACCAAACCTCCTGTTCTCAGCTGCCTGGCTGCCGGCCGCCATCTTGGCTGACAGTTAATATGCATATCGCCCTGATTAGCCAATGGGAAGGGTAGCAATCCTACGCCAATTACCATGTTTCTGTTTTATTAGATTAGATTCCCAATTCATCACTATGTGTTTAATTTATATGATGGTTTTAGTATACAGTGTCAATATCTTTCCCCACTATGAGATAAATACAAGCTTTTGAATTGTCCTAAAGGTTTTCGTTTCCATGCACCAAACACCAGATATCTTATTCATGGGAGGTCAGTTATGTGATATAAGCAAAAGGTACATTCACTATCTATTTGGCATACTTTTAAATTTTAATGGAGCCTATAAAAATTGTTTCTGCATATTAACTTGTGATTAAGGGAGGCCACATTTAATAAGTGTTTTCACTAAGTATAATTTAAATACGTTCTACTACCATGGGTCCTCAAACTATGGCCCGCGGGCCACATGCAAATACAAATATTGTATTTGTTCCCATTTGGTTTTTATTTCAAAATAAGATATGTGCAGTGTGCATAGGAATTTGTTCATAGTTTTTTTTTTTAAACTATAGTCTGGCCCTCCAACAACATGCGGGACAGTGAACTGACCCCCTGTTTAAAAAGTTTGAGGACCCCTGTTAGACTTGCTGGCGATGCATAAAATAATTAGATATATCTTTAAAAGGCTTGAGATGGAACTTATTTTATTTTTAAAACATATTTATTGTTGAAAATATTTCATATGTCCTCCCTTTCCCCCCATTGACCCCTTCTAGCCCTCCCCAGACCCTACCCCAGGCCTTCACCCCCTTCATGTCTCGTCTAGACCAGTGATGGCGAAACTTTTGAGCTCAGCATGTCAGCATTTTGAAAAACCCTAACTTAACTCTGGTGCCGTGTCACATATAGAATTTTTTTTGATATTTTCAACCATAGTAAAACAAAGATTTATATTTTTGATATTTATTTTATATATTTAAATGCCATTTAACAAAGAAAAATCAACCAAAAAATGAGTTCGCGTGTCACCTCTGACACGTGTGTCATAAGTTTAACATCGCTAGTCTAGACTTAAGGAATTAACTTTTATTATTTTTTATTTCAAATGACAAATCAAAGTGTCAACTGTTTGTGCTTAATATTGTAAATATATGGTGGGTAAAATTACCTTCCTAAACATCTATCTTTTATGTTATATTAAATAATGTTATTGTAAACATGATAAAAATGAAAAGGCACATATTCTCACCTCTCTTATGACAGAATTTAAGTAGTATAATAAAGTTCCTATAATCAACTTATAGAATGAATGCAGTGTGTTAATATGACAGTAGAGTCACAATTTAATATATAAAATATTTTAACAAAATATTTATTCTATTAGCTAGGAATATTGGTTTCTGAAAATAGTATTAGAACTTATTTTAAGTATAATCCATAAAATTAATCAATTTAAAATTTACCTGAAAAATCTCAATAGCATTACTTATTATTTAAGATTCTCAGAATTTCAAGACTATGTTTATATGTATGTATGAACTTCAGAAAA